CCAAAAGCCTGATGAGAGGGTCAAATGCATAAGTCATCCTCCAGGGCAAGACTGGCACAACTTCCCAACAGGCGTTCTGAGTCTCACTAAAACCGGGAGTAATTACATACTTCCTTCCCATATCCTTGAGTACGTATGTATGGAAAGGGGAAACGGGACAGTCTGAGAAATAAGATGTTACTGAGGAGCCAAAAATGGTGAATGTATGATGTATCCACACTTCCATGAGGGAACTGAAAAGGCCGAGCAAGTTAGTAAAATACTTTGAAAACTGAAAAATATAATTATAAGGATGGTTACATAAAAGCAGTTCTAGGAAATGCAAGGAGCTGGGGATGTTGGCAGTATCTTATGAGCCTAGAATACAGAAGGCAGAGGCAGACAAGACATCACAGAGTTCAAAGACGGCCTAGTCTACATAGTGAGTTCCAGGCTAGCCAGGTGTACAACAGTGAGGTCCTGGCTCAAAGGAGGAGGAAGCAAATGGGACACAAGTGCGCCTGTAATCCCTGCGCTCAGGGAGGCAGAGACAGGTGGATCTCTGTGAGTTTGAGGCCAGCCTGGTGTACAAAATGAGTCTAGGACAACTCAAAAAACCAAAAAATTAAAAATTTTGTTTTTTCTTCCTTCCCCAGATCACTTGAAATTCTGCTGAAGAACAAAATTTGTAGCAGGGAGTGGTGGTGAAAATCCAAACATTTAGAGCTGGGGCTAGGGGTGGGGAAGGGGACAGGGAATGAATGCCTGGGTTACACAGGGAGACACTGTCCCTACCAAAACAAAACAAAGAACAAAATCTGAGACCTTGTATTTGAATGATGTTTAATCCCTCTTGCAGATGCTTGTCAAGAAATCAGATTTAATGAATATGGGGGGTGGGGATAGAGTCCAGGACCTCAAACACACTAAGCGCTCTATCAACTTGAGCTGTACCAGACATAAGAGAGCCTGTCTTAGTAGTAGTAGGCTCAGTGATGCACGCCTGTAATCCAGCACTCAGGAGGCAGAGGCAGGCAGATCGCTGAGTCAGAAGCCAGCCTGGTCTACAGGATGAGTTCCAGGACAGCTAGGGCTACACAGAGAAACCAGGTCTTGGGAAAAAGAAAGAAAAACAGTAATAAATACATAACAAAGAGACCAGTAAATACTGTAAACCCAGAAATACCACCCCCTTCATCAATTTAGCATTCCTCCCTCATTTAGCATATCACACAAGTAATGGTAAGGTGTTTTTTTGTTTTTTTTTTTCTAAATTTTTATTACTAGGTTAAACAGACTTGCAAAACAGTCTACATAAATACAAACTAAACCATCTACAGCAAGTAATAAGAAAAGTGGGCAAGGCCAGGCATGGAGGAGCAGGCCTTTAATCCTAGCAGTTGGGAGGCAGAGGCAGGCAGATCTCTGTGAGTTCAACGCCAGCCTGGTCTATAGGACAGCCAAGGCTACACAGAGAAACCCTGTCTCCAAAAACCAAAAAGAAAAAGAAAAAAAGCAAGCAAGCAAGAAAGAAAGAAACAAAGAAAGAGTTAAGGAAAAAAAAAAAAAAAAAACAGAAACTGGGCAAAAGAAATAATGTTTTTTCTTGGCAGCACATAATATTCTGATGCTGAGTTACAGCCAGAGTTCAAGAGACAGATGGGACTATATGCTCACAGATGGTCTCAACAGAAGTACTACCAAAACTAACTTCCAGGCTCCTCCTCCAACTTAAACTGATCTCCCTTACATCCCAGAAACACTGAACAGTGTCAAAGGGCACTAAAACTTATCAATACTCTTTTCACGTGAAAAGGAGGCACAGCCCATGGGAAGGACTTTGGTCTGTGACCTTACTCGAGTCTGGATGCATATGGTGTAGTAACATGGGTTACGAAACATGCTGCGTCATCCACTCTACGGAACAAAACTGTAGCCCTTCTCTGCGGTGTACTGACACGGTATACAAAAATCTTAGCAATTTTTAAGTTTCTAAACCCAACTCAGTCCATTTTGTGTCACTTTCCTAGGATTTACTCTACTTCAAAATCCCACGTATTACAAACTTTAGGAACAGAAATGAGTATTTGAAAGCTGGTGAGTATTCTGATTTGGGTGGCCAAAACTACACAAGAGAAAATGTAAGTGTAGCTCAGACAAGGCAAATGACACTGATCTTCCTCCTCTTCCCATGTGCTAGGATCACAGGTACATGCCACCATGCACTACACGAGGATTTCTGATTAGTAAGACTGAGTGGAGCCCTGAGGAAGGCCTAAGGGGCAAAGCAAACCATTTCAACATCCTAGCAATGATTAAATCAAGTCACAAGACGACTCCGAATGTATTGCATCCATAGCTCAAAGGAAGGAGGAATAACTATGACCACATAAGGGTAGGGCTTGTAATCATTTATATTAGTTCTTGGAAACATATTCTTAGTAATATTTTATCTTTTTAGGCCAAGCAGGGTGGCTCACACCTGTAACCCTAGCTTAGAAGGCTGAGGCAGGGGGAGCACAGTGAGTCTCAGACCAACCCATCTCAAAGAGCAAAACCTCAAAAAAAACAAAAAACAAAAACAAACTCTCCTGTAGCTATTAAAGTGCTACAGGTTTAATCCAGGGCCTGGAGCACACCCAGCAAAAGCGGGCTATACTTCTGGTCTGAATATTCATTTCAGTTTTTTAAAAATTATTTATTTATATATATGAGTGCTCTGTCTGCAAGTATACCTGCATGCCAGGAGGAGGCATCAGGTCTAATTGTAGACATTGGTTGGCCACCACATGGGTGCTGAGAATCAAACTCAGGACCTCTGTACTCTTAGCCATCTCTCCAGCCCCCTTTACTTCATCTTTCTTTATTCATTTGGTAATGCTGGGCATTGAACCCAGTTACGTAACTGTTCATGCTGGGCAAAGACTTGAACCTACCACTGAGGTTTATCTCCAGCCTCCCAATTTCATCTTTATTAATGAAAACACCAAAAGAGTTCCTCTATAATATAAAAACCCAGAAGTGATGCTCGGAAATAAAGGAGAAGCTGCAGACACAAAATCTTCTGCTAGAATGACTATTAAGGCTGGGGGCGGTGGAATCTTTATATGTAATTTTTAAAAGGTTTTCTCTTTAATGATTTATTTATCCTATATACATTGGTGTTTTGCCTGCATGCATGTCTGTGTGGTAGTGTCAGTTCCCCTGAAGCTGGAGTTAAACACAGTTGTAAGCTGCCCTGTGGGCGCTGGCAATTGAATCCCAGGTTCCCTGGAAGATCAGACAGTGCTCTTAACCACTGAGCTATCTCTAAAGCTCCTTGAGATATAACTGAAAAGCAAAGTACAACAGAATGAGTGTCTGAGAAAAAGCTACTTTCCCCAACAACAGGACTAAGGCACTAAGGTTTTATGCACAGGACAAGTACTAATAAACGCTGTCCTTACATTCAACAATGCTGGATTCTTAGAATGTAGCTCTTAGAACACGAGATTCACTCTAAGGGCTGACATGTTCTTCACCTACTCTCACATTTCCTATTATTTAATAATCAAAATACACTTTATATAAAAAGAAAATCTGCTATTGTTCCAAAATATTCAAATGTCTGGTCTTGCAACTTCAAAGTTTCTCAGAAAATCAGGAGGCCTCTTTCTTCCCTTTTTTTGTCTTCAGTGCTGGGACTCAAACCCAGGGCCTTGTGCAGAGTAGGCAACCTGTGCCCCACTGAACTGCACTCCTGGCATCAGGAAGCTTTCTCACAAAGTTCAAGTCCACTTTGCACTTAAATAACTCTAATTGGGGTGTTCGGAACAAAAGGATTTCTAGTTTGCTTTTCTCCCTCCAGACAGGGTTTCTCTGTGTACCCGTCTGTCCTAGAACTGGCTCTGTAGACCAGGCTGCCCTCAAACTAAGAGATCAGCCTGCCTCGGCTTCCCAGTGCTGGGATAAAAGGCATGTGCCACCATCGCCCAACTCCAAAAATTTTTATAAATTATACTTTAAATTTAGTTTTGTTGTGTGTGTGGGTACACACATTAGCAAACAGAGGTCAGAGGACAATATGGGTGATGACTCTCTTTCCACAATGTGGGTCCTAGGAATTGAATTCAGATTATTACCAAAAGCCTTAACCCACCTCACCAACCCTTAAATTTTTAAAAAATTGTAAGATACAAATTTGGGCATAACCATGCATCATTAGCATTTTATAAATAAGTCACATTATCCCACTAAAAGGTTTAGATGCAAAAGTAATATTTTTCACACATAAAACTGAACCATGCAATGTTCAATTTAAGCCTTCAAATGCCATGCAAGATGAAAAGATCTCCCCAGACTGCAGCCGTAGTCTGGGCTTGCACTACTGTGTTAACATACACCTACTTTTTAAACCACATGATTTCTTCAGGGTCCGAGATGCCAAATTCCCTCATCTTCTTCACCATGCTGGCACTCTTCCTAACAGCCACCTCATAACGCTGGCTGCGAGTGAGGAAGTTATAGTCCTCATGCTGGAAGTCTGGGTCGTTCAGAATCAAGTTCTCTGCAAGGGAGTTAAACGTCATCAAGAGAAACAGGCATTCACCCTCCCTAATCCCTGTAGATGAGAACGGAGGGCGACACCCTCCCAATCGTGCCACCGGACGCCCACCGAAGTAAGGGGTCCCGGCTCCCCCTAAACTCCAGAGACCCCAAGCCCTCATTCACGGGGGTTCTTTCGCCTCATCTGGGAGAAGAGAGAGGCCCGGCCCTCCGGCCTCACCGATTTCTCGGCGGCGCCGGGTGTTCTCCGGGCTGCCATCCAAGATGTGCGTGATCAACTCGGGATTGAAGGTGGCGGCGGCCCGCTCCTTGCGCAGGTCGGGGTTCATGACGGCGGCCAGGGTTGGCAGAGGACGCGGCGACACAAGTGACAGGCAGCAGAACGACGCCCGTGTCCGCAGCCCCAGCGCCGACCCGGTCCTAACAGCGGAGCCGCGACAGCCCTCGGCCCCGCCCCGCCCACTCCGGCCCGCCCCGTCGCCGCTCCGCGTGACCGGCCGCGATCCCGGACGCCGGGACCGCCCGCCGGACGGACGAATCCGCTGCTGCGGGCCAGGGGAGGTCCCTAAGCGGCTCCTCGCCAAGGAGACCAAGGTAGAAGGTCAAGAAACTGCGGGGGCGCTAGAAGGGGAGTGGGGCGCTCGCGGGACGTCACTTTTCTAGGTTCACGTGATCTCCCCGGGCGGAAAGAAGCTCAGGAGACGCGCGCAACGGATTGGCCAGGGCCGTGAGGGGCGGGATTGCGCCTGCGCCGTGGGACTCCGCTACGGGGGGGGAGGTGGGGGGGGGGGGGGGGGGGGGGGGGGGGGGGGCGGTGGGTCTTCCCGGAAACCACTAGGGGAATGAGTGTTGAGGGTCTGGGGGTTGAGGGTAGTGGAGGAAAGCCATTGGTTTTGCTGGAACCCACCCAAATCGGAGCAAAAGGGGACCGGGACAAAGGTCACGTTCATTGCCATCGGCCAAAAATATTGCCGACTTGACTGACCTCAGAGGCATGGGATGCGAGGGCCTGGTCCTGCGAAGTTTCCCCGTTTATGCAGTGGACATGGATTTAGAGCGAGAGGGAACAGTTCCAGTTTCTCTACATTTATAATCGAAGACTTTTCCCTCCTAAACCGGCAGGTCCTAGAACATTTACGATAACAGACTTTGGTCTGCGTTATCACTGTTGTTGTGGGAAACAGACGTACACCAGCGGAAGAAGCTCTAGCGTTGCATTTGCGAGGAGTTCACTAGCCTCTCGGGCAACCCGCTGTCGCCAGTTGGTTTTTTAGTGCTTATTCCTTACAAAATGCAAGGTGGCGGGCTGGAGAAGTGGCCCAGCAGAGCGTGTGTCTAGCGTGCTCTCAGGCCAAGGTTTGATCCCGAAGTACAACAAACTGGGCACGGTGGCACAGGCCTGCAACGCTAAGTGGAGGTCTGAGGATCTAGAAGTCGAAGGTCATTCTCGGCCGTATAGAGAGTTTCAGGGCAGCCTGGGCTGTGTAATGCCTTGTTTCTAAGAGTCTTTAAGGGCTAAGTTAAATGCACTCGTTCTTCGTTTGACTTAACGGTCTTTTGACTTCATACCACAAAGGAGACCTACACTTTTTCGTTACCTCTTAACTTGCCCTTCTAACAACATAGGTGAGACTCTTTCACATAAACAGTACAGAGACTGGGTAAAATGAATGAAGGCTTTATCTTGAGTACCAAAATTAAGGGAGCCCACAAAATTCAACGTTTTAATGCATTGTTTTTTCTGGGTGCAGGAGATGGACCTCTGAGCTCTGACCATCCCCAGCCTCACAATATTTATAAATTCAAAAGAGAAAATAAGCAAAATACTGAAAAGTGAAATAAAGACTATATTATTGTTGCTGACCGTACCTTTGGCTCGGGCTCCAATAAGCCTGAGCAAGACTGTTTCCAAGGACACTCCCCAGGGCACTGACGCATTGTTTAGTTTGGTTATTGTGAAATTTATTCCTCTTATCAAAAGCTTATATCCCAAATACAATTAACACAAGCTATTGATGAGCTGAAACCCAGGTTATTGCTTGATGGGGTAAAGGGGAAAACACCACACAAGCAGACTCTTGGCAGGGAAAGGGAAAGGTCTGGTCAGACCTGCTGACAATTGCAAATTTGACCTGGCCTGTTGGCATAGGTCTGGGATCTCAGCCACTTAGGAGGCTGAGGCAGGAAGATCACAAATTCAAGACCAACCTGGATTGCAGAGAACTGATAATTGGTTTAAGGCAGCTCTTTCAACTATGGGTCTTAATTAGAATTATATAAGAATCACAGTACAGGTTTGGTGTGGCGGTGACACCTTTAATCCCACCCCTCAGGAAGTAGAGGCAGGTGGATCTCTGAGTTCCAAGCTATCCTGGTCTACACAGTGCATTCCAAGCCAATCAAAGTTATATAGTGAAGCCCTGTCTCAAAACAAGAGCAACAAAGAATCCGTTTACATTTACAAAATTGTAAATGGCAAGATGAGATTCAGAAAGCCTCCAAGAGCTGATTGGCAATTAATGTTGACGTCATTAACCTGGGTGGATGGTCCAGGAAGAGCTACAGATGCTGAAGAAGGCAGAATTCTGGCAGATTAACATTCATGTGGCTAGTGAGGTATGGCTTTAGCTCAGGGCCCAGCAAGTGTGGGATGGGTGGTTTTGATTTTCATTCTCTTCATGCATCTCTTCATCCATTCATACTTAATATTGCCCTCAGAACTGGTAGGAGCAAAGGATACTGTCCTCAGTCAGAATCCCTGCCCTCATAGGGATGATAATTTGGTAAGAAAAATAGACTAAAAAGAGAAACTAAAAATTTCACTATTTGAAATCTGATTATTCAGTCAGCTGCAATGAGTGAAATAAATCAGTGTGGAGGCGCACAGTGAGCAGGGCAATAGAGGATGCTATGTTTGAGGTAGAGGGAGAAGACCCCGCTGTCAGAGAGAGAATTAAAACATCTGAAATAGAAGGGACCTGGAAGAGAAGAAACAGTCACGGGATGGCTGGGGAGAAAAACTGTTCACATTTGGTTGGCAAGATGGCTCAGTGGATAAAGATACCTGCCTCCTGAAGATGCAAGCCCACAGGCCTGAGATCAGTTCCCAGAACCCACATAAAGGGTTTAAAAGAAGAGACCCAACTCCATGAGGTTGTCTTCTGACCTCCACTTGTGTGCTATAACATGCATTTGCATATACCGATAATAAATGCAATCGTTTATCTTTCTGTCAGATGGCAGAAGCAGGGAGATCTCTGTAAGTTTAAGGCCAGCCTGGTCTGCTACATCATTTTGTGAGTTGCGGGCCAGCTAGAGCTACATGGTTGATTCTTTTGTTTGTTTCAAGACAGGGTGTCTCTATGTAGCCCAGGCTTTCCTGGAACTCACTCTGTAGACCAGGCTGGCCTCAAACTCAGAGATTCACCTGCCTCTGCCTCCCAAGTGCTGGGATTAAGGCGTACGCCATCACCACCTGCCTGCTACATGGTTTTTGTCTAAAACTAACATACTAAAACCTGTTTGAATATCAGGATGAGCCTAGGTACAGGTCCTGAGTTGATTGTGAGCAGAGGAAGAGGGAAGGGAAATAGAGGCTAAAGCTAGGCTACTTCATACCCCATGTGGCACCAAGGGCCAAGCTAAGACCGAGTTCTGTTGGTTATAGAGAGAGGTCACCTTTCGTACCGTGTATAGGTAGTCCTGTAGTCTGACCAGCAGTTATGTGTTTTTCTTTTTGACCCAATCACAGTAAGAGAATAAAGAAGCAGTTCACCTTTCACCCATATTCTCTAGTTAACATTTTATTATAGTTGCTTTATCTGTCACCTGCAGGTCAGCCTTATTTATTCAATCTCTATTTTGGATCTGTTTGAGGAAACTTTGTGGAAATCCTCCTTTATTTACAAATATGCAAGGTTTTCCTGAAAATAAGGACATTTGCAGAATGATTATGGTTGCGATAACTTAATGTTCATGCAACACCCCTGTCTAATCTACATTCCTTTCTGTGGCTATACTGGTGCCCGGTTCTGTCCTTTACCAGATGTTTTACTCATCTGGAATCTAATCTAGCATCATAGGTGATATTGTGTTACCTGCCAGGGGCTGTTGCAAAATGCCACAGAGTGACTTAAATAAAGGACATTTACAGGCTCATTTCAGAAAGCAGGAAATCCCAAGTCGGAATATCCACAGAGTGTCATATAATAACATATACTGTAAACACAGCAGTTGGGAGGCTGAGCTAGGAGGAGAGTTAGAAGCCAGCCAGATAAAAGAAACTGTTCAAGGACTGCAGAGATGGCTCAGCAGTTAAGAGCACTTGCTGCTCTTGCAGAGGACCTGAGTTCAGTTCCCAGCTCCCATATCAGTTGGCTCACAACTGCCTGACACTCTGGTCCCAGAAGACTGACACCCTCTTCTACCCTCCGTAGGCATGCATTCTTGTACATACATGTACATGAAGAAAAATAAAATCTTTTTTTAAAGTAAAGTTAAGGGATAGAGAGAGAGCTCAGTGGTTAAGAACCCTTACTGGGGGTCGAGCGCAGTGGCATGGCTGGGAGCGCTCGAGAATGGGTCTGGCTAGGGCCGCTGACTCGGCCTGCCGGCGTGGCCAGTCTCATGACCCGGGTGGTGATTCTGTAGGTACGGCCTCGACATGCAGAACGACGCCGGCGAGTTCGTGGACCTATACGTGCCGCGGAAATGCTCCGCAAGCAACCGCATCATTGGTGCCAAGGACCACGCGTCCATCCAGTTGAATGTGGCTGAGGTTGACAAGGTCACAGGCCGGTTTAATGGCCAGTATAAAACCTATGCTATCTGCGGGGCCATTCGCAGGATGGGCGAGTCAGATGATTCTATTCTCCGGTTGGCTAAAGCGGATGGAATTGTCTCAAAGAACTTTTGATCAGAAGAGGTCGGGAATATTTGTCATAAATAAAAGTAAGAAAGTAAAAAAAGAAAAAAAAAAAAAAAAAAAAAAAAGAACCCTTACTGTTCTTGAAGAGGGCCCAGATTCCCAGCACCCAACGTAGATGCTCATAGACAGCCCTAACTCCAGTTCCAAGGGATCTGATGCCTTCTGACCGCCATAGGCACCAGGCATACAAGTGCTACACAGATGTACAGGCAAGTAAAACACCAATACACACTTAAAAAAATAACTTTAAAAAGGAGTTCTCGGGCTGGAGAGATGGCTCAGTGGTTAAGAGCATTGTCTGCTCTTTCAAAGGATCCAGGTTCAATTCCCAGCACCCACATGGCAGCTCACAACTGCCATAACAATTCCATGGGATCTGTAATGGCAATTCCAAGGGATCTGACACCTTCACACTAATGCACATAAAATAAAATTAAATAAATTATTAAAAAAATCTTTTAAAAAAAAGGAGTTCTGGGATGGACTACTGTTAATGTAACTTTTATTTACCTGTTTTAAGTGTCATCTTGGAGGCTTACTGCCCCCATCTGCTAACCTAGACCTAGTCCTCGCCTGCGTACAATCTAATCTAGACCTAGAATGTTTTCAGCCTCTGAGACTTACTGCTGAATAAGCTCATCCTTTCTTGTTCTTTCTGAATTCTGGCTGGCTGGTTCAACTCAGCTGTTCAGTTGAGCTCAAACTCTTCTCCAAGCTGAGGGATTCAATCTGGCTTCTCTCAGCTTCTGACTTTTGCTCTGCTTGGCCTCAAACTAACTCTAGCAGTGTGTTCTAATCTGGCTCCTTCTCATATTCTGTCTTCACCTGTGTCTAGCAGCCATGTTCTGAATTAAAATTCCCCTACAGATTACATCCAGTTTCTGCAGTTCTGGGGACCCAAAGCATGCTGGGCAGCGCTATACCAGCTGAGCTCCGTCCCCAGCTGCCAGCTGCAGGCAGGGTACACTGGGACCAAAGGCACAAACTTCTGAGGTTACCAGCCTGTAGCCAGTGTTTAATGAGAGCAAGTCGGGCTCCTTTATTTCTGTTTTATCCATAGCTGTTCTCAAGTGGCTGGGGCTGGAGAGATGGCTCCGCAGTTAAGAGCTCTGGCTGCTCTTCCAGAGGACCTGGGTCGGATTTCCAGCACCCACATGGTGGCTCACAAATGTCTGTAACTTGAGTCCCAGGGGATCCTTCACCCTCTCTGGATTCTTCCGGCCTTTGCTCAAACTTGGTGCACAAATATACATGCAGGTAAAATGTACACACACAGAAAATTAAATTAAACTTAAGAAAAGTCAGATGGCAGATGTGAGCGGTGCTAGGGCCCCTCCGGTCCACAAAGATAGAACACATATATGCATCTTTTTGTTTTGTTTTGTTTTCTGAGACAGGATTTCTCTGTGTAGTCCTGGTTGACCTGGACTCAATTTGTAGACCAGGCTGGCCTTGAACTCAAAGGTCACCTGCTTCTGCCTTCTGAGTGCTGGGATTAAAGGCGTCGTGTGCCACCATCACCCTGCTAATATGTGCCTCTTCACAGACCTTTGCTTTGTGACATTGATGGAGAGTGGAGATTACAGTGGGAACAGTACTCCTCCTTGTAGCTTTTATTTATGTATAATGTATATGTGTGTCAGCGTGTGGTGAAGGGTTGTATATTAGCATGTGAGCTCATGACCTATAAAAAGAAAACTTTCACTTTCATAGCCCTTCCTGCTGGGGCTACTCCTCCAGGTGTGGCTGGTCTCTCATGTGTGGTGGTTGGCTTGGTTTACCAGGAATCTTCAAAAAAAAAAAAAAATCCATCCCAACTATTTGGTTCCTGATGCCAAGGATGCTGCCTAAGCCTGGGATCTATTACTTTCCCTGGGAAGTCAGTGATGGCCAAGTCCCTGAAGGAGGCACACTACGAACGTTCGGCAGGTAAGGTTCATCTCCTCACGTGGCAGGGGATGGCTAAATAGCTCCCCCCAAAAACACTCAAGTAAAAAATTTTTTTTAAATAGAATTTTGTCTGATATATATTTGAAAAGGGAGGATTGTGACAAGGCCTTACTGTGTAGCCCTAGCTGGCCTGGAATGAGCCATGTAGTCCAGGCTGACTTCAAACTCACAAAGATCCTTCTGCCTCTGCTTTTTGAGTGCTGGGATTAAAAGTGTGCACTACAGGCCTGGCTGTGTGTGTGTATTTTAATACAAATAACCCACAAAGAGTAAAGAAAGTAAAATCACATATCATTGTCCAGACAACCGCTGATAACTTTTATGACCTTTCTGTACTTTCTCATGTGTATATGGTGAGTGATCATCTGGCTAGATGTGGGTACCCACGTACATATATATATCCCGTGTTAGTTGTATATTGTTATGTCACAAATCACCTGAGAGTAAAGTGGCACCAGGCATGGTGACACACAGCTGTAATCCTAGCTTGGGTGGCTGGTGTAGGAGGATCTCAGGTTCAAGGGCTGCTTGGGCAGCTTGGCAATGTATTGTCTCAAAAGAGAAAAAAATAAGCTGGGCATGGTGGATCATGCCTTTAATTCCAGCACTTGGAAAGCAAAGGTAGGTGAGTTCAGGGCCAGCTCGCTCTACATATTGAGTTCCAAACCATCCAGGGATTCATAGTGAGGTTGTCTCTAAAATAATTTACGAAGTGCAAAGCAAGAGTAAGAGCTTAAGAGGCATAGCTGGGCATGGTGGTGAACACCTGTAATTCCAGCACTCATGGAGGCAGAGGCAGGCGGATCTCTGTGAGTTCCAGGCCACCCTGGTCTACAAAGTGAGTCCAGGACAGTCAAGTCTACACAGAGAAAACCTGTCTCAAAAGACAAGAGCAAAACCAACAAACAAGAACTTGAAAGGCAGTCACCTCTCCATCTAGAGGACAGTAGGGTCTATTGATAGACAGTAGATCTATCTGATCTATTGCCTGTGTTTTATTTCTCGGGTCAGATTGAGGCTGATCATGGCCTCTTCAAACCTTTCTAGCGAGGTGGTGGGCTTGTCTGTGATTAGAACTGATTACACTTCCTGCGTCCTCCAGGTTGTGCCTCTATGACATGACACGCTCCCTCGTGACCCTGACAGCACCGTACAAAAATGACCAATGTCAGCTGCTTGTCTGTACCAAGTTGGTGGAGCCTTTTGAGGCGCATGTGGACTTCCTGTACATGGTTCTTGGGGAGCTGGAGCATGAAGACGGTAAGTTGTGCTCCCTGAAGCCTGCTTCGCTTGGGCTCCTGAGCTGGGGTGTGTTTTCTGTAAATCGAGGGTGCACTGGACATGGGACACGTGCATTTAATCTCAGCACTCGAAAGGCAGAAGCAGGCAGATCTCTGTGAGTTCAAGGCCAGCCAGGTCTACAGAGCAGGTTCCAGGACAACCAGGGATACACAGAGAGACCTTGTCTAAAACAGAAATGAAACAAAAGAACCAGAGAGTTGTGGGGCTGGGGAAAAGGCTCAGTGTGTAAAGTGCTTGCCATACAAAAGTCAGGACCTGAGTTTGGATTCCCAGAACACCCTGAAATGCAATAGTTATCATCTGATTCCAGTGTCCCTACAAAGAGATGGGAAGCAGAGACAAGAGCCCAGACAGCTGTACACAGTGGTGAGCAAGAGACCTCCCCTCTGGGTGGAAGGCAAGGCCGGATTCCAAGGTTAGCCTCTGTCGTCCACACATGGCATGCACAAGCCCACACACAAAGAATAAAACAATGAAGCAGGCCATGTCAGAGAGAGCCCTCACTCCCCTAAAAAAAAAAAAAAAAAAAAAAAAGAAGCAGAAATGGATTGTTCCTGTCCTGTGACCTTGTGGCATTACCATTACTTATAGATCAGGTCAAGGACTCTTGTCAAACAGGTTTGACTAGACTGGAATGGACCAGACATGTGATGCCAAATCAGAAGGAGGGACGGTGAAGAGTTGTCACCCTGGGGAAGTGATGAAAGAGAAGTCACAGTTTTCTGAGGGTCTCTGTGTGAGGTAGTTTGCTTAGGCATTTCCTAGTATGCCCACCACCCTGTAATCTAAATCTCATGGCTACTTCATGGAAACCAAGGCTCAAAAGAACATGGGTCTGTAAGAACAGGCCAGGAAGTCAAGTTAAGAGAAATAAAATGCAAGGGGAGGAATAAAAACGGTCTGCCATAAAACAATGAAGGCAAGACTGACCTGTGACCAAGGTGACAGATGCCTGGCATTCATCAGTCCTGGGTTCCATCCACCCTTTAATAATAAAAAATAAAATAAAATAAAGCCCAAACCATACGGGCTATGAGAGGGACCAGTGACTTTTCTCTCCTCCTGGGGCTTATATGGCAGTGTGTATAAGTGTGTGTGTGGGGGTTATTCTCTTTCTTTCAGCATTTGCTTCCCTAACCCTTTATCACATAAAGTATGTTCACTGTAGAGAATGTAAAGAGTAAAAAGAAACAGGGCAGGGGCCTGGGGATGCAGCTCGGTAGAAGAGCACTTGCCTGGCACGGGCAAGGCCCTGTGAGTTGCCAACAGTGCCGAGATGGAGGGAGAGAAAAAGGGAAGAAACAGGAAGCAGTCATCTTTCATCCTACCTAGAGGCAATTACTGTTACCAACTTCCTTTCCAGTTTTGCTTCATTAGAGAAAATGCCTCATTCTGTTGTCCTGTCTGGTTCACACTGATCAGCTGATCCTCTTGCCTCAGGCTTCTGGGTAATCAGCACCATAGGTGCCTGACGCCGGACCTGGCTCCAGCAGTCTGTCTGTCCATTCTCTCAGCAAACAGCAAGGAGTCTTATTTAAATGGACAGGACAGAGGGCTGAAGAGATGGCTGGCTCATCAGTTGAGAGCACTTGTTGCTCTTGCAGAGGAAGAACCCCAGTTCAGTTCCCAGCACCCACATGAGGCCTGACACCCATCCATAACGCCAGGCTCAGCACATCCGACACCCTCCTCTGGCCTCCACGGGTAATGCATACATTCATGCAGGCACAACAGCCATACACATAAAATAATAAAGTAAGTAAGTCTTTAAAAAATAATTAAAAAGAGACAGTCCAGGACCCACTGCCAGGGAGCAATAGGCAACTTGAGCTTGAGTGTTCAGAGGCCTCCAGTTACATAACCCTGGGTGACCATTCAGCCATGACAATAATGACACCAAGACCTTTTAATATTCCAAAGCTCAAGCCTTAGCCAGGCAGTCTTTCCTCTATGTCTCCCGGCAAAAAGCCTTCCCCTTTCTGCCTCCCTAGTGCTGGGACCAAAGGCGTGTGCCACCATGCCCAGCTTTTGTTTTTGTTTTAACAATTTTTTAAAAATAATTTATTATTTTTATTTTATTTACATTGGTGTTCTGCCTGAGTGTATGCCTGTATGAGGGTGCCAGATCCTCTGGAACTGCAATTACAGACAGTTATGAGCTTCCATGTGGTTGCTGGGAATTGAACCTGGGTCTTTTGGAAGAGCCAGTACTCTTAACCACTGAGCCATCTCTCCAGCCCCCAGCTTTTGTTTTTAAGTTTAAAAAAATTAAAATTGGTATTTATTTATTTAGTGTGTGTGTGTGTCTTCAAATTAGCTGTATAGCTAAGGCTGGCCTTAAACCTGTGATTAGAGCTGGAGAGATGGCTCAGCAGTTAAGAGCATTTGTTGTTCTTACGGATGACCATGGCTGCTATGATACATATTTCTAGTGCCCACATGGCAGCTCACAACTGTCCCTAACTCCAGTTTCAGAGGATGTGACATGCTTGTCTGGTCTTACATGTGGTGGACAGACATACGTATAAACACATGTAGATAAATATATCTTCTAAAAATACCCTGAAAACGTGTGGTCCTCCTCAGTGTTGGGATGACATGCATGTGCCACCAGGCCCAGCTGTGAACATGCCTCCCCTCCCCATTTTCTTGCTTTGGGACAGAATCTCTCACTATATAGCCCAGGCCAGCCTGGAATTTGTGATCCTCCTGCCTCTAACTCCTGAGTACTAAGAATTCACATATGTGTACCCACAGCTGGCTAAAATTTTAGACTTCTCTTAGCATTTTAAAAATGAATTAAGCAAGCCGGACGGGGTCGTACACACCTTTAATTCTAGCACTTAGAGAGGCAGAGGCAGGCAGATCACTGTGAGTTCAAGGCCAGCCTGGTCTATAAAGTGAGTCCAGGACAGCCAAGGCTACACAGAGAAACCCTGTCTCAAAAACAAACAAAGGCCATGGTAGGTTGTAATTCTGGATTAATTACATTAATTAAATTAATTAATTAATTAGGGAAATTAATTAAATAGTAATGATTTTAATTATATTGGATTTAATAAAAGTCCCTTTTACTTAAGATTTGAAGGTCAGAGTTCCTGCCCTCATAATTGATTTGGGGGAGATATGAGAGGCGGTACAAAGGGCCTTTTATCTTTAAAAACAAAAGCAAAAAACCTTATTTATCGTGTGTCCACACACTCTTTTGTTTGCCTTGGCATACATAATGTGCTTGCTTGGTGTTCTTTAAGGCCAGCCTCCTGTTTGATTTTTTTTTTTTTTCTTGACCTTTTTCTGCATTTTCTGAGTACTTCATACATGCCACTCTGATCTGGAGTGAAGAATTAAAGACAGAGCAGTGGGTGGAGTCCTGTGTTGCCTGAGCGCGGCCATACCTTTCCTGACCTCTCACCTGGGCAGAGGGTACACTGTGTGGCTGCTGTCAGCCTTCCTGGGCTTGGTCTTACGTCCTGTTGGGATACAAAGGTCCATCGAGCATGGGTTGTGCCCTGTGTCTAGGTTGAGAGGTTTGAGGACAAAGGAGAGTTGGTTAGAGGTACCTTTCTGACACTTTTGCATCTAAAGCCAGCCAGGAGACTGGTGTGAGACAACGCCAGCTTCGTGATCAACAACTCGGACCGGACACCTCCTGGCACCATCCAAGGCCCCATGGGTTCCTGTCTGGACATGGGGTGCTACCTCCCTGCAGTCTGAGGGCTCCCTATTTTGTCACTACCAAATAATCACACTTTGTATAAGCCTCACTGGCTATAACAACTGGCACTTTACAAATCTCATTTTGTCTATTGTAAGCTGCATGGCGGTGGCTCATGCCTTTAATCCCAGTGCTTGCCAGGCAGAGGCAGGTAGATTTCTGTGAGTTTGAGGCCAGCCTGGTCTACAGAGTGAGTTCCAGGACAGCTAGAGCTATGCAGAGAAACCCTGTCTAGAAAATTAAAAACAAACAAAAAATGTAAAAAAATGTTGACACATGGTGATTGTAAGTACATATTATGGGGCACAAGGTGACATTTGAGTCCATGGTAGGTAGTGAACATCTCTGTAGATGTGGGTGTGATGCTCGAAAAATTCTCTGTGCTAGCTATTTTGAAATATTCAGCTAGTTGGCAACATGTAGGCCTATTGGTACAGGACTGTAATCCTAGCTACAGGAACTTCAAGGCCAGCCTGGGTATCTTGGCAAGGCCATGCCTCAACAAGTCAAGAGCAAAAAAGAAAAAGCAAGCTGGGGGACCCAGGTCACAGTTCAGTGGTGGCAACACAAAGGTAAAGCAATTTTTCCCGGAGAGATGGTGCAGTGAGGAGGAAGGACTTACATGTTACATGTTCGATAAACAAACGCCTGAATGATTTTCACAGGGAAGAATTTCTAGGCAGATAAAGGAAACTGCTCAATGAGATAAGACTTTGAAGTCATTGTGTTCTGTGGACCAGGGAGGATGGAGGCAAAGGCTGATCCCTACAATACCAGAAAAAGTGGCTGAGAGTCACTTTGGGTCCACTGAGGGGACAGAGAAGCTGAGAGAACAATGCAGGGTCCCAAGGTCCTGACAGGGCTGAAGAAGGCTGCAGTGGGAGTGAAAGGGCAAGAAGATGCTGAGAACAGAGCTTTACAGCAGGGTGGAAGATTCTAGAACAACCAGTTCAAGGTGCAAGATGGGTGTGGGAGGCAGAACTGGAGCAGAGGTGAACAGTGCGGTATCAACGGTTATGGTTATCAGCGGCAAAGGGACAGGCGTGTAATGTAAAACCTGAGCAGCTGGTGAACTCTGGACCTACCTCCTGCTCAGTGGGGTGTGGGGTCGGAGCCCCGGTGGGGGTGGGGGGACCTGTTGGTCTGGATATAGTCTGTCCCAGAGAGAAGTTGGAGTATTAGATGGACAGTGGAAGAGAGGGCCAGTACAGCAGAGGGCATAACAGGAAGGACAGAGGACACAGGAGTGTGGGCAGGGATGAGAACAGGGTGGGATTTGGGGTGACACTGCAAGGACAACCTCTGATGTAGTCAAGGAAAAGGAGAGCAGTGCAAGTGTTCTGCATACAGCAGGTGACAACTGTGTGTGTGCTGGTGCTTGAACACGGGCCTCCGGTGTGCTCGGCAAGTGGTCATGTTTTCACCACTGTCAGATGGTCTCTCGTGTACAGTAAACTGCCCTCAGACCGCCTATGCATTGGAGGACGAACTTCAACTCCTGACCCTCTACCTCTGGGGTGCTGGGATTACAGATGTGTGCTACCATGCTCATCTTATGTGCTGCTGGAGGGGACGCAAACCCGAGTGGGTGCTGGGCAAGTGCTGGGCAAGAGCTGCATCCCCAACCTTTTCCTTTCTTTTAACGATCTATTTTAAGTGTGTGTGTCTTTCTGTCTGTCTGTGTCTGTCTGTCTGTGCACATGTACAGAGGTACCCATAGAAGCTAGAGGCCTCAAATCCCCCTGGAGCTGGAGTCAAATGGTTGTGAGCAAATGGACGTGGGTGTTGAGAACTGAACTCAGGTCCTCTGCTCTTAACCACTAACCCATCCCCCAGCCCCTCATTTTTATTTTTAAGGTAAGTTTTTTGGCAGGTCCAAAGGTCAAACCCGGGGCCTTGCTCCCAATAGACAATGGGATTTTTTTCTCTCTGCCACACCCCTCCAAGAACTAGAATTCTAGGCAAGCTCCTTCCTGCCTGATTTGTCTCACACCTTCTCTCCCTGTTAAAGCTGAGGTCACAGACAGCGGTCTTCAAATGATCCACACCCGTCTTCACGCCTTCCCTCCAGAACCGGCTGAAGCACCTGGACTGCCAGCTGCCGTCTGGTTGTACCAGCGAGAAGCCATCTATTCTGTAGACACTTACTCTGTTAAAAAGATAAAGCCAACTAAACTTAGAAATAAAAGTAGTGGAGCTGGATAACTGGTTCAAAGTGGAGAGTGCTCACTGTGCTTCCTGAGGATCCAAGGCTGCTTCCCAGCACCCAGAGAGCTCACAGCCACCTGTCACTCAACTGCAGGGGAGCCAATATTCTCTTGGGGCCTTCATAGGCGCCCGCAACTGACCTTTGCTACTTTGTGGGTCCTTACCCCCCCTTTATTCCCTTGTTTCAACCCCTATTTCTAGATACGGGAAGGATAGAAAAGAAAGATCTTTGAATCTAATTTCTTTCTTGTTGCTTGTTTGAGCACAACTACTAACAAACCAAAACCAACCTCCCACTCCTTCTAGCGGGGCTTTAGCATTTATAAACCCTCTGAAAAGTTCCCAGAATGCCAGACATCACACAATTGCAGAAACTATCTGCAGCTGGCAAAACCATGCCTCTGCTAGAGCACGAGGCAAATCTTAGTCAGCTGCTGGGAAACAACCCCATGTCCCCACAGCTGGGATTAAAACAAAAACATACTCTTACATTTCTGTGTTTTTTTAAAGAAATCCAAATTCCAGAACTCACTCCCGGCACCTGCATTCATGTGTGCATACCCGTATACAGAGACACACATATATGCCTAATCTTCTAAAAAAAAAAATGCAAGCAAACACTTTTAAGGGTCTTTGAAATGTAAGCAAATTTCTAAGAAAATATTCACACCAGCAGTTTGGAAACATTTAACATAGCATCATGTTTTGAGTTCCGCATCTTCCTGCTTCTCATTCAGGAACTACCCCCTTCCTGCCCCCAGCATTGGCATTCACAATCGAATCAGGGCCTCCTTCATGCTTAGCAAGGGCTCTCAATAAACTCACCACGCTCTCCATTTTTGTTTCAGTTCATTTTGTTTTGAGACAGGGTGTCTCTATTGATGTCATTCTGGCTGTCCTGTAACTTGCTATGTAGACAAGGCTGGCCTTGAACTCACAGAGCTACTCCAGCCTGGAACTCCTGAGTGCTGTGTATGCACCATCATGCCTGGCTTCCCCTCCCCCCATTTTGCTGGTTGTGTCTTTACTTGGTTTTTGTGGTGGTGGTTGTTTCTAATTGTTTATTATTGTGTGTATATGTGTCTGAGTACAGGTTTCCACAGGGGCTAGACCTGGAGTTACAGACGGTTATGACCACCTGACATGGGGGGGTAGAAGTCAAACTCAGATCCTCCAGAAGAGCAAGTGCTCTTAGCCGCTGAGCCATCCCTCCAGCCCCCAGCCCTCTCTTTTGATGTTGTGACCACCTGATTCTGTTCTTGCAGCTCTTACAAACCCTTTAGAGCCAAGTGTCCCCAGACTTCTCAGGGTGGTGTAAATGTTTGAGTAACATGTCTATATAACATAATGTCCAG